ATGGATAACGAAATCTGTAATTTCTTAATTTTTTCCTGTTTTTGGTACAAAACACAAAAGAGCCAGATGCATTAGCATGTATGTTTTAATCGTGGAAAAGGAAATTTTATTCTATGCGATTAATACGAAGTATTTTGTATCCAACAAAAATAGTATTTTTGTCGATAAAACAGACGGATTTAACATCCTCTTAAGGACGCAGGGAAAAATTGCTGAATATACCAATCGCTTAAATCGTACCTCATTAATATTTTATATTATTATTTAATATTATTAACATTAAATAACAAAACTGTAAAATATTTATAAAAATATTTAATATAATTAAATAAAAAATAAAATATTTTTGTCATTAAATGTCAATTGTATTAAGCAATTAATAATATAAAATATGATAAGATACGAGTCAGACGATCGCATTTAACTCTGCCCAATGTACACACCTTCCTTCCTAAAATAAGCCAAATTAATATTTTACTTAAATTTTGTACTTAGAAATCAACTTACTGCATGCAGTTTGTCAATCACAAACAATAGAATGAATGTTTAGTTTAAGATTCCAGACAAATGACATTAGTTATTAAAGACAAAGATTTAAAATTTAAAGCATAAAACATTGTCTTAAAATTACACGACATTTTGCCGAGGTCCCATACATTCGAATACACATCGAATTTATGCGGAGAAACGCATATTATATAGCGATCATACGCATGTTTATTCTCACCGGTAGCGTAGCATGGCTCGAAATCATATACCGTGTCGCACACGGCAGTTTTGTTAGGGGCCGATGGTGGAAATTCTCTGTTATCCTTCAATTCCACATTCAAACGACCGCCGAAACCGGCTCGCAAACTAGCGGCAGTTTCGTCGTTCGATCCGTAAACGAGCGAAAGGTCTAGATAGTGAGTGACAGTGTTCAGCTGAAAAACATTGCACAACCATGAATTGACTAATCTTGCGAGTTGAAGTCTACCAGATTATATAAATGCAAATTAATTAATCGTAAAGCGTTAGAGATTCGACAGTTAAGCGCTTCTCATTTATGCTACGAATAAATGAAGAAAGACTACGATTAAACTATAATCTCGAAAATATTCAAGTTTAAAAATATTATAAATATAAAATACAATAATAAGTCGAACTAGACCGCTATATAAATAAGTGAAAAAATGCCAAATATGGTCAAGACTGAGTATCTTGGTGCCTAATAATATTGTATGTAATTTTTAAGTATATTTTCAATATATTTTCTAGTTTTATAGACTACGCGATTATTTGAAATGCTATCACAAACTAAAACTGAAATAGTAATACTACAAATTAAATTGCTATTTTTTACAATAAATTCTTTATAATGTTTTAAGCTTCTTAGCTTCATTGTTAAATTGACGAGCAATTTAATTTGCAAGTTACCGGCGGAATGTTGAACAAGGAGGACCTTGTGATCGTTGACCTTGCATCATGCAGTAATCGAATCTAACTGCCAAGGATTGTCAAGGGAATAGCGATGGCTTTGGATTTTGATTTTTAGTCCCCATGACTCACACCGAAAAGGGAAACGTTGCGTGTTCTTCAAATAGGATTAATGAATTAATTATAATTTTTAAATTTATAGTTGTGGCTGACGAAGACTTAATAAGGTCGAAACGTTCCGCTTTACGTTTACCGAATAAAATTATACAGTGTCCCGAAATTTGCGAATCAAAATATCATAACGAGAAAGTCTTCGAAAAATTAAGTAAAAAAGTTATTTGTAAATTTTTCTTTTAAGCAATAGTTTTTAAGATATAAAAGTTAAAATTTAGTCAATTATAGATTAGTACTTACGTGAAATGCGCGACCATTAACATTATTGACACGTTCACGGACATGTTCCCGTAATTTATAAAATTGGCTAAATTTAAACTGTTATATCTCCACTACTGCTTAAAATAAAAATTTACAAATACTTTTTTATTTAATCTTTCGAAGACTTTCTTGCTACACGGAAAGAACGGTTTTGCTAAAAAATTTTAAAAATTTTGCTAAAAACAGATCTGAAAATAATTTTTTGTTAAATTATCAAAATAATTTGTTGGAATGTTAAAACCGATAAGCATTGCTATGAAATATTTTGATATTCTAGCAATTATTTTAACTTTCGCACAAAATTATTTCGATTATTGAACAAAAATTATTTTCAGATCTGAATTCAGCAAAATTGTTTATTCCGTGTATGATATTTTGATTCGCGAATTTCGGGATATCCTGTATAATTATAATTGTATTATCTTTGTTCTGCAATATCTTTGTTCATTTGTTGGCGTTTATTTCGCTAATTTTCCATTTAATTTGTGATATTACATGGAAAGATGTTACTAAAAGATTCTAAAATTTGACTGAATATAGATCTGAAAGTAACTTTTGTTGGACCATCAGAATCATTACGTTAGAAATTCAAACTGATTTCTAAAATATTAAATTTTTTACAGCATTGCTCAATATTGAGTTTCTAACATAATTATTTGAATAGTCTGACAAAATTATTTTCAAATCTGTACCCAACTAAATTTTGGACCTTTCAGCAAAATTCTTTTCTGTGTCATCACAAATTAAATTAATCGTCAAATTAATGATGACGTTAATAAGAACCTTTCCGTGTATTATTTCAAGTTTTAGTTAATAATTGCATTTTGAACAGTAATCGAAGGTAACCGACGCGCAGTTTATAAAACAAATGCGTTAAAAATTTATATAGAAATATTAATAGACACACCAAAATCTTCAGTCTGGACTATATTTAGCGCGCTCCTCTACTTATTTCAAAATACTTACATATACCCGCTAAAAAATTTTTCATATAAGAACATATACAAATATATGTATATAAACATATATAAAAATATATAATTACACATAATTATATGCGAAATATGTCCATACATATCCATATGTTTCTTTTCTTTGTAAAATTGTTTGATACAAGAAAACGTAAAAAATGGTTAAAAGAATAATTTTTGAATTGTTTTTTTATAAAAAATCAAGTTTTAAGAAATGAGAAAAAATTGTTCATGTATATAATTATATATATATTTTTTTTTATCATTTATATATGATTATATATGAGCAATTTTCCTCATTTCTTCAAACTTGATTTTTTGTAAAAAAAAACAATGTAAAAATTATCCTTTTAATTATTGTTTATATTTTCATCTTATTATTATCATTTTTTTGTATTTAAGAATAATTTTACAAGGGAAAGAAACATATATAGATATATATGAATATATTTTGCATATAATTATATATAATTATATATTTTTATATATGTTTATGTACAATTTATATATGTTCTTTTTTTCCCGGGTAAACAAATAAAAATGACAAGAATAACATGATATCATGTTCGCTACGCAGTATTATCCACCGCCGCGTAATATAATGGTTCTTAATTAATAGTTGCATTCTAGTTTTCTCATTACAGTCATTATCATACCCGCGTATGATGTAATAACGAACGTTAAATGAATTATAAATGAATAAAACGAAATGTAAATGTAAAACCTGTTCTGCCGTGCTTGATGTGTACGGAGACGAACAGCCACGATCAAGGTCGGTCGTACTACGAACAAAGTTCAGACACTCTATGGACCCGCCATACACCGGATCGTCGTGCGGTATCAGTATCGGGTAGCATCGGGGCATCGTCTCCACGTCCGGTGCTAACTGACCGTCGAATGTGCAACAACGTGTGCTATGTGACTCTACGAATGAAAATATAATAAATATACGGAAAAAATGATTTTGCTGGAAGATCAAAAAAAATCTGAAAATAATTTTTGTTAGAGCACCATCGAAATAAGTATTTTGTTGGCAACTCAAAAATAATAAGCATTGCTGTAAAAAGTTTTGATGTTCTAGCAATCAATTTGACTTTCAAACAAAATTATTTTGATGGTGCTCCAAAAATTATTTTCAGATTTTTTTTATCTTCCAGAAGATCTTTTTGTTTATAGAATGAAAAAATAAATTACAATATTTAAACAAAATAATGCACAAGAAACTAATCATAGTTTTCAAAATTTTTTTAAACGCTGAATACAATATCCTGATCATTAAATTTCTCACGTCACAGTTTAGAAAAAAAGATTGAAACTACAAGAAAGATTAATATAATGTAATTTGGCAAATTATACATATATGATATGTAACTATATTTGTCGTAGAAATTTTATTAATTGTATTCAAAGTTGTGTATGTTATTGAAACTTTTAGCCCTTAAAAGAAATTATTGTGCCATTACAAATAAAAAGATATTTATAATTGCGGTCCGATTCGTTCGCAAGCATTATTTATTTTGTTTAACATTTGATAAATAACAAAGATGAAATGATTCCAAAAGCGCTATGATCATGAATTGAACCGCAGCCAATGATTAATATAGGATCTGTTGTCAAAGTTACGACTTACATTTAATGATCTATTAAGGACATACCAAATATTTTTGAATAAATATTAGAGTATATTTAGCGATTTGAAAAATTCTTCTGTTTAAATAATTTAAAAAATATTTGATAAATTCTCAAATACCTATGTAAATCGCAACAAATAATCCTTCAACGTGATAAACTTTATATTAATCATAATTGTTTTTTTTATTATATAATCGACATAACCATTTCTCTGTTATGTTCTAATTTCATATTCATTGACCTGCAAACTAACGGCAATTTTGTTCGATCGTAAACGAACGAAAGGTCCAGATACACGAAAAAAACAATTTTGTTGAAAGGTTTAAAATTTTTGCTAAATGCAGATCTGAAAATAATTTTTTATTTAATTATCAAAATAATTTATTGGAATGTTAAAATTGATAAACATTGCTATAAAACATTTTGATATTCTAGCAAACATTTTGACTTTCACACAAAATTATTTTACATTTTACAATTATTGAACAAAAATTATTTTCAGATCTGGATCCAGCAAAATTGTTCTTTCCATGTAGCAAATAATAGAGTACAACTAAAAAATTACACTTACTTAATCTTGCGAATTTATGTATCTAAACCGGAATTATATATTATATAAGTTGAAAATCTTAATAATTGCTTTTTGATTGCAATAAGATTTCTAAAACACATCGCATAGTTGTAATAAGCTCTTCTTTAATTACAAATTTCTCTAAATTGTGACACGATAAAGCAATTTGATAAACGATCATTCAGCGCCCAAAAAACTACGGAAAACGATTACTCTCGTTCATGTGCTTGAAAAAAAGAGTCATTTTTTAATTGAAGAGTGTGTTATCGAAATCCGAAGCGATCACTCATCGTCACTAACCGAGTGACACGCAGCTTCGGCACGTATAACAAAAAGTGTAAAACATACTCGATTGAGTCGTGCCATCGATCAAGCCCATGTCGTGCGTTATGATTTGTCCGTATTGCATCGCTATCAGGGTCCATATTACGTCATCGGCACCGTCGTTCGGAAACATCGTGTAACTAACGGCCCGAGCCAACGGCAGATCTGTGCCGATGATCGATCGCGATGGTGCCCGAACTCCTGTGTTAAAATAAATTTTAAGAGAGACGAGGATTAATATACATTATTAAATTATTTTGTTACAAAAACATGGATCTGCGAAAAAGTATCGTTATAACGTTAGGGATAAAACGAATATTGTGCAATACCGAGGCGACTGTATCGAGTTTTAGAAAATTCGAAAGTTTCGGACGTGCTATTTTTTTCGTGAATAGAGATATTACGGATATATTAGAAAGTGCGGTGTGTTTCCACTAGATTTGAAGGCATGATCGGAAATTAAGCTTCAGTTTCGTCCGAAAACTAGTTTCAGTTTCGTCATGTCACGGTTCGATGCGCGAAATCTATATAAATCGACGTGCCCGCGTATTTATTTCGCATTCGTATTTATTCGTCGTTAAAATTTATTAGCGAAATCTCTCGCGGTGAATTTCAATTTTGCAATTGAAATTAATTTATTGTTGAAAATAACGAGGCTAGTCAGTCGTTTCATATTATAGTGTGAATGACATAATATATACATATATGTAGTAACGCTGAGGTAAAAATTTTTTCCGAAGAACGACGCTGTAACTACACAGTTGAAAAATTCGTGTTAAATTAATCAATCTTACACATCTTACATGTCCCAAACGGTCCATTCAAACTTTTGTGTTAATTTAACGCAAAATTAATATGTTGGAAAGTAATACAAACATTATGTAAAAATTAACACATAAAAAATGTAACACTTTAATACAATTTGAAAACAAATTGTAGAAACATTATTCTTCAGTAAAATTTTAACACTAATAACATGTAAAATTAACAAGTATATTTATCTTTTATTCATTTCGAATTTACGGTTTAAAACTACTTTATTTTCATGTTGTTTATTCACTTACTTATAAATTGTGTTATTTTGACTCTGAGAAATATTGAATGTCAATTTAACACAAAATATTTAAATAACATAATCACATTATGTTAATTTAACAAGCGAATATGTTAAAAATTCGACACAAAATTTTAATAAAAACGTGAATGGATTGTTTTTAACATAAATACAAAAACGTTTTTTACTGTGTAGGACAAATCATCGGAAAGTTTTCGAACAGCATTGTTGTTTAAAAACTTTTTAGAACATTCTAATTTGAAACTCTCAGAATAAAAACTATTTTCTTGTAATGCCAATTTCTTTCGCGAAGGCACTTCAATTACCTTAAAGATATAATTTTGAAGAAAGTGTAATGCGTAAAAAAATTACAAACAAAATCTTAGAGAACTTTCTTAGATCCACATATACATAAAATACATATTATGTCTGCGTATGTTAGATAATATAATATTATCAGAATTGATTTTATATTATCAATTAAATTGTTGTGTTAAGCAATACGTGAACTTTCTTTTAATATTATATTTATTATAGCTCGACTAGACGCAAAGTAATAAAAATCGAATAAGTAAGCAAATAAGTAAACCTCGAAATCTTTTTTCGCAATTAGGGACCACTCAATTATCGTTTGTGCCAAGCCAACCGTAACGAAATTTAAAACGGAATACCGTTGACGTAACGAATGAAAATCGATGTTATCTAATATTAATTATGTGGTCCAATACCTTCCTTACTCTACGTGACCTAAAGATTCTACATTTTCCTAATTAAAACGCAATACATACAATTCTTTTCCATACAGTTATTTTTATACAACTACTTTCAATAAAATAATTAATAAATTACAAATTTCTTTGTTGCAAACTTCCAGTCTCTTTCTTTAGACAACTTTAGTTGAGAATTTAAAATGTATTATAGAAAAAAATAATATTTAACATTTACAAATTTATTTATATATATATTTTAATGAGTTTAATTAAAAACTTGACATTTTTGTGTTTAAGGATGTATTACAAGTATTTTAAAAATTATAAAAAAATTACAGATTATTTTACATCACATTTAAAAATAATATATAGTACATAAAATTTAGCAATGGCGGTTTAGAAAAAATGATTTTTTAACGGAAAATAATATTTTATCTCTAATAGAAATGTATGGAAATTACTAAATAATAAGTTTTCAAAAATTTTTTGTGTGTTTTAAGATACAAGACAGTTATATAAAGTCATTGCGATGCAGAAAATAGTTTTGTAAATAAACAAAAATTATTATATATTTGTTTATTTACATGCAAAACAACTAATATCTGCATCGCAAACTCTACATAAATACTTCATTTTGAATACTTTAAACACTTGTACAAGATAATTTAGCTGTTTGTTGTTACAATATTTTTATTGTAACAACGGTTTTAATATAACAAAAATAATAACAAATAAAGTAAATAAAGTAGAAATACACAGCTCAATGAAAATTGATTATTATAAACATAATTCGTATGTATATAATTTATTTGAAGTACAAATATTAATAATAATTTGTAAAAATTGGTTCATGATACATCCTTAAAAATAAAAAAATTATAGAAACGTCATTAGAAATAGGACTTAATTATATTATAAAACAAAAATACGATTACTTACCATCGCCGTAACGCGGAGGTATAAGTCTTCCGTATCTTGTATTCGCCAGGCCCCAGGTGGGATTTCGAAGATTATTGCAGGAACCGTCATAGCTTCGATATTGTGATTCCTGACAGACTTGGGAATAAGTGTCGCCGCACTTAATTTGCTGATGAAGATCGTCGCTCGTATTTTGACCGAAAGAAAAGCTTGAACAAATTAACGTAAAAATACAAGTAAGACAAATTTTTCTTTTTATCACATGCACAACAATGAAAGATATAAATTCACTTAATACGTTAATATGTCTTGCACTTAAACCTAATTCTTTGCACATTTCTTATACACTTACGTTATTTATCGACTTACATGGAATTTGCCGTCGATGAATAATAAACGAGCGGGCGATACGAGTTAGAGAGTTGATTGTGAACTGTAAATGTGCTGTAATACGAAGCCTCTGAGTGTTCTAAATCCGGCAGCTCCTTTTCTTTTCCTTTTAAACAGATCATAAATCGATATTATAAATTATACAACTTCGCACTGTCGCTGGCATGCAACATTTTTAAGCGTCGTAATAATGCGAAAAACTTTCTTTTGCAAAATTAAAAATTATATTCCTTTACGGAAAGAACAATTTTGCTGGATTTTGCAGATCTGAAAATAATTTTTCTTCAATAATCAAGATAATTTTATAAAAACGTCAAAATAATTGCTAGAACACTGCAAATCCAAGTGTGTAAATCTGTAGTCACTTTTTACGCATTTATACGCGTGTTATATTTTTACACATTTTATCTATGTTTTACACAGTTAAATGCGTATTTTTTACACGCTTGCACATATTATTGTA